ATTTTTGAGAATTTCATATCTCCACATCAGATTTCTTTTCGGAGGAAACAGAAATAGGAATTCAATGAGCTAATTAAATAAATCATTGAAAACATCATGAAATCAAGTCGTATCTCCAAAGCCCTACCCCGAAAGAATAATTTCGAGTGCGCTACTGGATTGTACGTGAAATTTTCTATAGAATGAGATTTCGATTTGACATTATCGCTGAGAAACTTCTTTGATATGGATGGGGGGTGGCTCAGAAAGTGGGAATTTCCAAAAAACGCCCTGGAACTGATGAAGGAAATTAATTAGGGAACATCTGTTTAGACCATCCTAAGTTCAACGAAAGAGTAGCACAGGGTTCTATCATCAACAACAACCGAGATACCTGGCTGTCTCAACAAGAATCGGATGCACTGTACAGGATGAGCCAAATTGGGCACTTCTGAATTGAAAGTCCTATTTCCCGTATGTCCGTGCATGTTCCCAGATAGCACAAGTACATCTTATGGATATACTATGGATATCCATCATGGATATTGTGGATGTCCATGAGATATCCGAAAAAAGCTCTGGTATATCCTATGGACGTCCATAGGATGTGACAGTGTGACCTTTTTGGATGTCTTAAAGATAATTCAATATGGATATCCATAAGATATCAACTATAGATATAAATGAGAGATAGTATACCCTATATATAGAAAAAATCACAAAAATTGGGAAGCACTCACGTCTCACTGCGTTCGAATAATGTAGTTGTCAGTTCTTATGCATCATCAATTTTGGACGAATTCGTAGGAATCACTTCCAAATTCACTTCAAATTCATAAAATATGAAAAACAGATTGGCATTATTATTTGACTATTCCATGGTTGGTAGAATCGATGATCTATAAATAATTATCAGTTCTACCAATCTTGGACTATTTGAGACGTTACGCCACCTCGCGCTGTTTCTGAAAACCGAATTAATAATAATAGCAGATAGTGCATCACAATGTGTGCTATCTTTTGGAAGACCCACGCCCAAGTGTTACTTTTGTGGATCTCCTTTTATTTATCATTTCATTCATTGAATATACTCGATTTGAAATTTCTAGGTATTGATCTTTTGTCTATATCTTATGGATATCCTATGGACGAATTCAGGACGTTTGTTTCGGATATCTCAAGTACATCCGCAATCGGATATCTTATGGATATACATTTTATGTCCACGGATATCCCGCCTTCAATAGGACTTGAAATGGATATCCATAAGATATCCTGTGTAAACTGGGTTGATCAATCCACATGAAAAACTCAAGAGTGGAAACCGCATGTCGATATCTATCTTTATTCCAGAGTTACAAGGTGTTCTTCGAAAATCTGAGTTTTTGAAAAGTGGCTGAAACTCTTTTTTTCGCCAAAAATTTTTCGTTTCCATAAAAACATTTGCATAGCATTGTGTTCGTCATAAAACTTGATCCTCTGGCACTGAAATCAGTCACCATATACCTAGTTGCGAAATATAATTTTTTTTTCAAGAAAAGCGAGCAAATATTCCTGAACTAGATAAAGGAAGGCCGATTTCAGTGCCTCTAGAACAATCTTCATCACAAACTGAATTCCTTGCAGCTATTTATATGAGGACAGACAGAAAAAAAGAATAGTCTTGTAACTCCGAAACGAAGACAGATATAGATATGCGTATTTCACCATTGAGTTTTCCATAAGAATCGATCCCTAGGCTCAGACATTAGTTTTTTTCATCTAGTTCGAGAATTAGACTTTTCTTTTGAAAATGTCGAATTTGTCCCACCCTGTACATGCAATTATTATGAAGGGAACACTTTTCGTCCCATCGAAATCTAACCTCAGTTTGAGGATCTCATGGATTGGCTATATTTTCGTCTTCCATGGACTCCAATCCCTAATAACACACTTATGTCCCATGGATATCCTTAGGACGTCCAGTCGGGACATTCAGAACGTCCATAGGACGTTCGAATTTGGTACCGTGGACGTCCATCGGATGTCTGTGGGACGCACAAATGTCCCACTTGAGGACCAACTAGGGACGTCCTTGAGAGATGTCCCTGGGACAACTATCGAATACCTAAATCGTACAGTTTTCCTCATGGAGCACTACAGTGGACATGCTTAGGACATCCATAGGACAACCCATCGGCAACGCTGAGGGATATCAATTGGGTGTCCATAGGATGTCCCAGGGACGTACGAATTATTCTTGAATTTGGATTTTTCTGGGTTTCTCTAGGACCAGATCTTGCATAACTGATTAGGACATCTAGTTGAGTTGATGGTCCGTAGAAGGTCCCCAAAAAGTTTTCCAAGGATGTCCAATGGACTTACGTGGAGGACATTGACGAGGAGTACTTATAGCTTACGAGCAATCATTCGTCGGCGAGGTGTAAGTTAACGTCCTCGCAGGGACAACTTATTGAAAGTACCGACTGGGACGTCCATAGGACGTTATTTCTAGGACATTGGAAGAGTACAGTTCATGTACCAATTTGGACATCCGACGGATATCCCTAAGGGACATTCGGAGGATGTCCCTGAGGGGCATTTCGATTTTTATACGATCCTGGAGATATTAAGGGCGTCTATGCAGAGATAATTGAAGGAATGTATCATCAGGGACATTTCAGGGTTGTCTAGAAACGACATTATATAAGATCTGAAGTCATTCCAGAATATGTACTACTCGGGACATCCGATGGATGTCCCTAAAGGAACGTTCAATATCATATCCCATCAGGGACATCCCAAGGACGTCCTTGCATGGACATTCTACTATATGTACCACGTGGGACGTCTAAGGGATGCTATTTCTAGGACATTTGAAATGATGTACCAGCTGGGACATTCCGGGGACGTCCTTGCTCGGACATTGCATGAGATGTACGGGATGGGACGTCCCAAGGACACTTATTTTTGGTTCGGGACATTCGAACGTGAATTGTACCAAATAGGGACGTCCCTAGGACGTTTATGTTATTAGGGATTTTTCAACAAGAATCTATGTGCCCAGGATTTGATTCAGATTAAGGGCACAAGTAGGGTTTTTTCACATTATTTCACTCGATAAATAGGAATCGGTTAGGTTTACACAAACAGAACTCGAACCGTTATTGAATTCACTATCATGATACAGTATTCATTTCTTTTTTCGTTGATCACATGAGATACGCAATTACTTCATAATATATTCTTTCCGTTTATCTTATCGTCTTTATGATGTTCAAAATTTTCACGCTCAATTGCGGCGAATGATTATTTTTTCGTGCGTTGCTTTCAACAGCAACCCAGACCCTCTCAATGTGGTTTAAAACCAAGTGTGGTCTGAGGAGATGATCAATTACATATTTCATTCGGTAATTCTGTTTGTTGATTATTTTCAATTACTCTATTTTCAGTTCTCTATGGATATTTCGATGTTTTTTTTTCTAATCGAATTATATCAGCCTTTTTGGAGTTGGTGCTTATAGAATTCTCGTTTGTTGATGTGAATGGTATGACGCATTATACCTCGCATTATACATAACGAACACTGAAGTATCTGGGTTATTTGATCGCTCTGCCCATTTCTCTAATAGTTCTACCGTCATCATAATTTCCTCGTGATACTCAGCAGAAGCTCTAGTAATATTTTTGGCAGATAACAATACATCAACAAATTTGAATTTCATTGTCGGCATGGAGAACATCATTCTTCTGCTACTCGAATTACATTTTCTGCAGTCATCTACCCAACCTTATTGAACGTCATGAGTGACAAACCACATTTCTTTTTGATAAACTTGATATCTATTTGAGTCACGATTTCTATTGATTAATGTAGATACCCTTGGCGATGATCTACCATGCGCTTCGATTCCATAATCACTTTTCTTCTGTCGGATTCTTCATAGCTGAACCCCCAAACCAGTATTACATTTTGTAATGTCCCTGACGATTTATTACTATAATCCGAAATGTTGGTGTTGGCACCGTATCCTCTTCATGACACTTATATACAATTCGACGAATATCTTATTTCGCAGCATAATCAAGCATCTCGAGTTTTACCCATTCAACAACATGAACATGTAATGTCCCTGACGATTTATTACTATAATCCGAAATTTTGGTGTTGGCACCGTATCCTCTTCATGACACTTATATACAATTCGACGAATATCTTATTTCGCAGCATAATCAAGCATCTCGAGTTTTTCCCATTTAACAACATGATCCACAGCATCCCCGGTGCTAATAATTCTGAAAATGCTAGCACAACTGTTCCTAGTCAATTCCTGAATTACTTTTACAAGTTGGGTTTCCGAAGATTGATCATTCTCGTACCAGATACATGAATAGATCTCGATAAGTTTTGAACGTGGAAGTCGATATTGGTGAACTCTGCCTGCTCTTGCTCCAGATCACTATTCCTCACTTCTGTGGCTTTCTTGAAAAGCTTTCAAATTGCAAAATTAGCACTGTGATCGAAATAAAAAACATTCCTAATTTCCACTGCACCGCACTGCCCTGAAAAGTCTGAACGTCTGAACACATGGAATCTCTAGAAGAAAACTCCGAGCAAAAAACATTCAGTAAAATAAACGTCGACCAGGAGAGCTTCATGAAAAATATTTCATTTATTCCCATTACAATGTTGAGAATATAAATCAATCTCCGTATCATCTTCAGAAAGTATCTCAACTGACTTTGTATAAAAATGGATGTACTATGACATCGTTCACACATCATGAACTTTATTTCTAACGATGTTTCTCAGAAAGGTTATTGTCCATAACATCAGCCTTATATACACTATTGACTGTGATGTGTGTTATGACATTGAGGTATTTTTTGTGTTGTTGTTGTTCACTAGCCTTTATTTATTTATCGTTCACCTAAAGAAAAACCTCAATGCCCGTTCGTATCACTATTTCTTAAAGCCTTTTTGCATTTCACCCCAGTGGAAGTAAATAACCTGTTCAATAATAAAGTATTTTCTTTTGCAGACTGTAGTAGAAATCAACAAGAAACACACATCCGACCATCTAGTTGAGCACGAAGTAGAAGACGTTCGAGGAGAACTGTCTAAGAAATTGGGACCTAACCTCATCCAACGTGATCTAGATGAAATAGTTACCGTAGCGAGAGATCCCCAAAGGGTACCAGAGGAATTGAAAGTATTTGCTAATGGAAAACGAACTGATGAACATAGTGCTGAGAAAGGTTTCAGTTTTCAGAGAGCATGGTGTTGTATAAAAAGCCGACGTTCTTTATAACACGTTAATTGTATGGACTTGTAACTTGAAGAAAATATTGAGTGATGAAGTGAATCCAAAACGTTTTTCATCAAGAAATGAGCTCAGCAAGCAGTTTTTTTACTTCTGCTCGAATATTTTTTGATAGAGATTGATTGTAGAGAATTTGTTGCTAGAACGATTAGTTCTTCCAGAAAAACTCAGCGCTCTGATAGTTGGTTGGATATCCTATCCAGATATGATCATAGTCAATATCATTTCCAATTGAACTGAGCTGTGGGCCTAATTAAATATTCACGACATATCTCCCGAGTATTACCCTAACAACACGAGTACGTCCCAGGGGCGTCCTTTATTTTCTACGAGGACGTCCTTGGGATATCCTGTGTCGGGACATGGTACATACTAGGGACGTTCCAGGGACAGCCCCTTTCCACAAAAAGAGGCATCTTAGGGATGTCCTTCTGCTACGTCCCTGGGATGTACCAAGTACGAAGAGAAGATATCCTTAGGACGTTCCGAGGATATCCCAGGGACATCCCTTCGATGATAGAAAAAAATGTAGGTCGAGTACGGATTGAACCCGGGACCTTTGGCTTATCAGGCACGCATCTTACTCCATTGGCTATTGAGCCTCCTGAAGATTTATGTACTTAACAGATTTATAAACAAAACTCAACTACAGAAACCTGAATAAATACAACTTTGTTAGGATTTGGGTATAATTATTATATCATTCTTGGGTGTTTAAAAATGAGGGGCATTATACATGAACGATTTCTGTTTGCGAAAAATGGTAATTTCTCAAGAAGTTCTGAAACTTTATTCTTTATTTTCATCACGATTATTTTCCGGAAGAAAAACAAACATTTTCAAAAAAATGCAACTCAATACTTTGATGAAATTCAATGACTCTGATGTGAATGGATATCAGATATTCCAGGGACACGAATAGGATAACCTAGGGATGTACCGGGCGGGATGTCCACTGGACAACCACTGCGCGACATCCCCTGGATGCCCCAATCATGTCCTTGTACCGCGGGACAAAGAAGGGACGTACCTAGGACATCCCTGTGTTGTTAGGGTAGATGATGAACTGCTTGACCAATGCCATCAGTTCAAGTTCGATAATCCATTGATCATAATGTCTGCAGTTGAATCGACCAGGAAGGATTTTCATTCTTTCAGATTCTTTGTTATTCTTGCTCTTCGTTTCTTTGAATGAAAATATGAGCATCATTCCGATATACTGGGTATCTGAAAAGTTGTTGTCGAAAATGATAGGGCTGATGAAGTGAACTGAAATAATGTTGGTACTTTACATGAAAAAAAATATATGGCGCTTCGATACGGAGTTATTGATCTTGGAAGTGAGTAGAATGAAAAAATTCATTCCCAAAATTTTTACATGTGAATTAGATATGCACTTTTCGAAACTGATGGAAGTTCAGGAACGTCTCACTTCACGTAACCAGTTGCGTCAAGTGAAATATCACATATCTAGTGATGAAATGTTCATTTCAACATCAGTTACGAAATGAAAATATTGATGGGCTATGAAAATAATGTATTCTGTGCTCCTTTCCTGATATAACTCGAAATATGTGAACTCGAATCAGCCGATTTCCACTGATAAAAATATCGAACGAGTCTATTTCGTCAATTTTGTCGATGATTTGCGACCATATATGAACGTATCATTGTTTGACGGATACTTCAAAGTGACGGGAAAAGACAACTTGCATAATTAACTTTTTACGTAATCCGGGATTGGCGCAGTGGAAGAGCTTCCGTCTGACGACCGCAAGGTCGTGGGTTCGATTCCCAGCACGAGCAAGAAACTTTTTTCAATATTTCATTTACGTATTAAATATTGTAAACTTTCGGAGCATCGGCTAGAAATAGTCCTGCACGATTCGGTGTTGCGTTCCAATTAACAGAGCTGCTCCTGAAGTGGCGCATAGAGTGAATAACAAAGCCTACACAGAACCCGCAGAAAAAGATGATGATGTGGTTGTGAGCATCAGAGAAGAAGTAGGACGGTGTATGTAGGTGGGTGTGTAAACTACCAGATGAGCGTGAGAGCGGGCCAGCTGCTTAGTGGACCTTGGTCTCTAACGGGAGTTAACGGGAATAGCTAGCAGGTCTGCCACTGAAGCATATGGTAGTGAGTACTAGCCTACAAAACACAGCCGAAAAAATCTGAAAGAGAGCTGATGGGCGGTGCCTGAAAAGGATGTTAGCCAGCTCTCTTAAGCGAACCACATCAGTCATCGAAAACACTTTTTGGGGCTTGCATTAGGGACTAGTTGCTGACGTGCAAACGTCCCCCACCAGTACCAGTACCAGTTGTACGTAATCGGTAGAAGTTATTTAGAACTAGTCATAATTTTTGTCCAAGCAAAATTTTCTATCAGAGATAGAAAAAATAGTATACGTAACTAATCAGAAGACGCATTTTGTGTAACTGTTTTGCTCAAAATCCCATCGTTTCACAAAATGACGCTTTTCCTAACTGATTACGTAAATATCTATTAATTCATAACTTCCAAAACGGTTGCGGTGATATCAATGATATTTCAGCAACTAACTTAACTCATACATGCTCTGTTCTATATTGATGTGAACGGCTGTTGCAGTAAATCTATATTCTACAGGGTGGAATGAATTATTTTCATTCAATGAATGTATTCTTGACAGAGGTGAGAAATTTGGCATTTTGATTCCTCTGTCTTTTTCTACAGAAAAATGTACACTATATATTGATCGATATATCGTATTATCTCTTACCGTTTTAGGAAAAATCGTATTTTTAAGAATACATTCATCACTCAAAACCTATCAAACACTCCATTCATTCATTAAATTCACTAAGGCAAGGTGAAATTATTGATAGATGTGTCCACCTTGATTATATCAAGACAATCGTTAATATAACATTTATAACTTGAATCGAAATTTTTGATTATATCTTCCCCTTCAATTACTCTGTAATAGAGCGCGATATAAATACTTTTTCAATATGATATAGGTACTTTCATTATTTTTGCTCACTCTATTCACCACATGGCCTTTTCGGACACCCTGTATTTGTTGAAAACCAAGGCTCTGAATTCGAAACTTTTGCGGATTTGGGAAGATCATGAGCTTATTCTAGGGCGCCGAGAAGATGTGTTGAAAATTGTACTATAAAGAGTTTTGTATAAGTAGCAGCAGATTCGTACCCGAAATGTCTAAGGATGAGTACAAATTTTGAAAGTTTTGGAAGGGACTTCTCCTCAAGGTTTTCATTCGTGATATTCTCACACACAGTGACATATCGGGAAATATCCGGTTTCTCCTTCATCACATTGAATTATTTTTTGAATTCTATTTCCAAAAGTGTAACTGAAATCGTTCTGGAAGAATGAATCGTTTCACTGATTTAATTGATGAAAAATAAGGCATAGTCGTACCTGATGGAATAAAAAAAGCAAAACCTGCGAATAAATCGCAAAACTCGTTTTGTTCATGCTGAGCTAAATCAAGTGGACATTGTTTTTTATTCCATCATTATTGGGGTAGCGTAATAGAATGAGTGACCAAATTTCCATATCAGGTTTCGATAATAAATCCACACCGAACAGGAATATGTTTCTGAAAAATTTTACATTTTATGAATGTTTGATTCAATCGAAAGAAATAATATTTTCACCAATTTAAAATAATATTTCCTGAGAGCGAGCTATCAGAAGATTACACTTTGAAGATGAAAATGATGTAATTGAGTAAACCGAAATATACCAGGTGTTTCTCAGAAGTGGCTCACCGCTATAACTTTTTTGTTTCTACAGTTAAACAAATTGAATTCGGTGTGTGAGTATATTACATAAATATGCATTACTCAACGAATTCAATTGTTTTCTGTCACTTCCAGTTTGACCAGAAATGGCACTCTTTCACTTATTCCAAAAGGGACACTTGGTATATTTTCACTTATTCCGATAGAGAATCACATGGTTAGTGAAACGAAACCCCATTTGCATCCATAGTGCCATGAATGAGTTGAAACAGTTGATTTTGAATCAAGTTGCCAAAGGAATATAGGTTCGATAAAATTTCACTCTCCATTTTTTTACAGGTACATTTAAGGTTTACAAAATCGTAATTTGATGTTCACCTGATTCTTTCAAATACAACGAAAATGGCTCATTACCATATCTGAAAAAGATATTTTGCTACACTGAGAGAAACTGGATATTAAAAATATCTACCAGCTCTGATTGTAATAACCATTATAAGGAAATCTCCTATTCCTGATCATTTTATTATTACAACAGTATTCTCTCCATTCTGTAATTATAAAAATCGATTTCTTAAATCATTTGTAATACCCTTGAATGGACATTTGCTACCATCATAACGCAAGTGTGTTATGACATTATGAGAATTTTATAAATTCCAGTCTACTTAGATTTTTTATTGACATAGCTCGTTTTGTGAATTATGCTCATTGGTGAATTCAGATAATGTTTGTCCCAATAATCATAGCTGGTTGGGTTTCTAGCATTGTACGTTGACGAATAACTCTAGCAATTCACATGTATGACGGTTATTAGGCAATCATTCGACAATCGTAATTCGGCTCATTTCGCTCTAGTGTTCCATCAGTACTGGGGCTGACAAAGATACAGATCGCGTTCATTTCTCTGCTGTTCTCGGTCATGGGTGCCCGTGTTCAATTATTGTCCAATGGTTTCGATCGTCCGAATCGATAGAGCCGTGTCTTGTAGGTGAATGTCTGTGATGTAGCAAAGTTTTGTTTTAGTGCTGGCTGTGAACCGATCTGTGGAATTGCATTATTGCAATGAAAAAGGTATTCTCCATACCCACTTTTCACGGCCTAAAATTGGTTTATTGCAAAAACAAAATGATCGATG